GGGGGGAGGGGGGAGGGGGGAAAGCATGGAAGAAAGCAGAGAAAGGAGGAGGTATGGGAACAGAGTGAAAGGGGCATGGAGGACACAGGGTGATGGTGAGAGAGAGAGAGAGAGAGAGAGAGAGAGAGAGAGAGAGAGAGAGAGAGAGAGAGAGGTGGGGATCTCTGTTTAGAGAGAGAGAGAGGTAGAGATGATGAGCAGAGTTGCACAGGCCGACGGTCGGCGCCGCTTGATTGGTTGGCCCAATCAGTGGGCTGGTAACACCCAATATTAACCCCACTAACACCCCCATACACCCCCCCAACACCCCCTAAACCGCCCCCCAACACCTTCGTACACCTCCCAATACCCCCCTATACCCCCCCTATACCCCCCCGATACACCCCCTATAACCCCCGATACACCCCCCCTCTATCCCCAAAAATTTCTCAGTGGATTTGGGCTGTACTCAGCAAGCGCAGTGCAGCCCCATAGTCAGATTTTTTTTTAAATCAGTGGATGGCTGTTTACTGACTGGTCGGCAGACTGCCGACCGGTTGGCGCTACCGGTAGGCTGCAAAACGGTCGGCGGTCGGCGCAGGCGGTCGGCGGGTGGGGCCAGTCAGTTCGATGATGATACCTCAAGATCACCACCCTTTTATGGGAAAAAGGTTGAAGTGGTTCTACTTTTCGCTCTCAAAGGATTGAAGTAAACAGCTCACTTAGTCACTGTTGTTCCCTCAGTTCGATGAGGGATGATCGCTTACCGTAATTCTTTGTTCCTGTCCATGTCATCTGTATCGGCAATTCGGTTCAGGACTTCACCAATAACCCAGACACTGCGGATGATTGCTTCCTTCTCGCATCAAGATGTATCCGATACTGTCCCCACCTCATCGTGCCAACACCTATCCTCCCGCAGCTGCTCGATTGCGCTATGGCGGGCATGACGGTTCAACACAGGTATGTGTTATGCATCTGGAAACCTGTATTGTGACAATACTATCGCCGAAAACCAAGTCAAAATGAGTTTCACAGCCCCACACTTTGAGCATACACAAACATCTCAAGATTTCATGACCGGTATCAGCATTGCAAGTGTGTTGGTATAGTATCCATTGGCTGCTGATTAATAACAGAAAAGAAAAAAAGTTTAAAAAACTTCAAAAAAAAAAAACAGAAAAAAAAGAAAGATTGCCTTGGTTGCTGATCCATCACACGTATCTAAAGAGGACAAGCTGTGATGCCTCTAGAAACAGTCTCTCCATACTTCACCGCACACTTTTTTTTTTTTTCCTTTTTGGAAAAAGACTTCGGTGCAAGTAAGTTGAAGTAACAACTTAACCGGCGTTATGTAATGCCGTTTGCTTCCATCCAGGCTGATCTGATGACTGCAATTGGTTAAATGTTCCTCCAGAACGTGTAGTCTGCCCCCAGAGTTTGCCTACCGTCTCACCCGAATAGAACGCCCAAGTACATTATAGCTGTACTTGGGGTAACTTTCAGACCAGATGCAGCGATAATGGTCGGGCGTTTTATCCGGGTGAAGACGGTAGCCAGTGGTGGCTACTACAGGAAAGGGGAAACGCATTTCCATTCTTGGAGGCAGTGGAGCAACCTCCTCTCCTCTTGGATGAGATGAGAGTTTGCAGAGACATTGAAAGTGGAAACACATGCCGGGGCATTGAAAGTGGAAACACATGCCGGGGCATTGAAAGTGGAAACAGATATACCATGCAGTATTTACTGCCGAAGCGACACTTCTCTCGACAAAGCGGATGGAGTCGATGGACCCAGTGGGTTGTGATCAGCTCTTTCGTGAACACAAGCAACTTGAAATCAGTCGTTAGGTTGTGCGCTACATACATATCACGGGGTATCCTGACTGTCAAATCCATCATTACCAGATCCGATCTCAAGAATTATGGAGGACGTCAACATTATTTTGGATAATCGCACGGAGGCTCATTGGCACTGGAGTTTTGTGCAGTGTGTTTGAAGAGCATTGGCAGTTGCATTTTCGACCCTCGCCTTTGTTTTTGCCATTTCGGCTTTGCTGGCTCCTGTGCAGGGTTGCTGTGCTGTCATGAAGTTTACCTTTTTATTTTTATTTTTAATTACAAAACTAACCTATATTCTTCTCTCAATTTGCCTCCCACTACCTACCTACCTGCCGTCTTCACCCGAATAGAACGCCCGGTCATTATAGCTGTCTTTGGCACAACTTTCAGCCCAGCTACGGCGATAATTACTGGGCGTTCTATTCGAGTGAAGATGGTAGGCTGGAATGATACACTCTTTATCTATGGAGCACAAGCCAACTATAAGGGTTATGGGTTGAACCTATCCCCTCAGGGTTGAGCCTAACTCCCAGCGACGGGTCGAAAGGACAATGGCATTCTCCGCCAACCAACTAGGAGGGGCAAGCTGACTATCTCAGTTGGTGAACGCACAGCAAGCCTCAGGGGGCCGTGAGATTTCCCGGTCCAAAATGGAAGGCGTGAGGAATCTAACCCACGGCCTCCTGAATGCACAGCTTTTGTGCTCTGCCAACTGAGCTAGGTTGCTGGCCGTCATGGAGTTACCTGGTTCTCCCAAACTCGTCACAACTCATCACCCGGTCATTACACCTGTACTTAACTCTTTTTCGTATCAGATACACAGATATGACAACCAGGTGTTGTGCTTGGGCGAAGAATGTTAAGCCCAAACATTTTGCGATGACTCGTACAATGGTTGCGCCCACAGGACTTCGTCCATCAGGGACCGAGGACTTCCTGTGAGTGATCCTCCATGTCCGTACAATTGAAGGCAACACAAGCTTAATTGAAAAAAGAAAAAAAAAGGGAACACAAGCCTTAACCCCCAAGTAGCATGGGACACGGGAAATCTTGTGTGAATTTGCAAGGCCTGCCTCACAAGTCTTAACGCCCTTGTAGAAAGGCAGCATCTTTTTTTTTTTGAATGAAAAGAAAAGGCTAAATAGTAAATAGTAAATACTATAAGCTGTGCCACTACGATGTTGGTGTTCCAGCCAGTCGTTGCAGTAATAATGAGGGCAAAGAGCCAATGAAGGGGATGGTTCTCTCATGAACCGGAGGACGATGGCCCGTTAGGCATGCGCATCAGCAGCGACTGTCCAGTTCCTCCAATCTTCTTGCGTGCACGTTTCACACTTCTGAGCTGAGTTGTAAGGTGTTCGCGGCACGGCATTGGTGTTACAGCCAGACATTAAGCCACCAGTCCACTGCATCCGAAGCTTAATCGACGAATGAAAAAATGCAGCAGTTTGCTGAGGCTAGAAGTGCCCGGTATCGGGCATTGGAAAAATCAACATGGTACCGGTCCCTGCCTCTGTATTATTGAAAAGTCTTGGCCGCCTCTACCGCCCCTGGGACGAACGGCCCAGGCGCAGTACTTTTATATGAAAATGGATGCCCTCTAACTGTGGGATGGACAATAGTAATCAGACAAACTAGCAAAGGAAAGGACATGATGGAAACGTGTAGGCCGCTGTGACCGATGACAGTCCCGTCTTCACAGATGGTATATCTTTGCAGTCCCGGACCAGCTGTACGAGATGACCAACGTTCTGTTCTGCAATGTCAACAGACTCAAAAGCAGAGCACTCGTAAGTTATTCCTTGTTCAATCCTTGAGATAACAGAGTGGAAAGATTGATTGGAAACGATTCAAACGAACGAACATGGGCGTGGTGTGTGTGAGCAGTGACGGGACAAATCGTGACATTTGTCACAACTTTCATTCATCATGGCTGTGAGCACCAGAACAACTGCCGAGGGTAACGATTGATCGCACGTACCAAGCTGAAATGAATTGTTTTGTCTGCATTCAGACCTGGAAGTCTCAAATTTCTTCAAGTTTCAAGTCTCCTCCTCTCTCAAGGAGATGCATTTGGAAGGGATGGCAGCCGTCTGGACACCTCCTTGAAAGAAATGGACCACAAGCCAAGGCTTGGGATGCGGTCTACGAGAGAGCCATGTGCATGTGCATAACAGGGAGGGAGAGAGAGAGATGGAGGCATTCGCAACAACCACTTCACACGAAGCAAGGAAAGGGGGGGAAATGCAACAACCTGAAGGAGCCATGTTAGGCCTCTGAAGGAGTAGAACAACATTCATCATGTCCGGGCACCCATCAGGTTAGGATCCGCCTAACATGGGTGCGACTCATGCGACCATTCGAAGCAGCTGTATCACAGCCTCAACGAAAACGGAAGAAGAAAAGATGAAAAACGAGACAAAAGGGATGAGATGCAAACTGTTTGGAAGAAGGAGAGGGGGGGAGGGGGGGGGGGGGGGGGGTTTTGTTGTACCCCTTTCTTTATGCGGAGTTTGCGAGGGGGGGAGACGAACAGCAGGGCGAGAGGGGTGTGGATTGGGGATGTCATAATAGTCGAAAGTGTGAGCTCTTTGACTTGAAGTTTGATCAGTCCCTGGTCATTGTCACTTTTGTCCTCCTCCATCTATTTCAGGGAACAGGTTGTTTGATTTGCTATTCTTCGTGTCCTCTACCCCCTCTCTCATTTGTCTCCTCCATGCTCCCTGCATCCTTTCCATAGTCTGACTTCTGGAACTACGACTATTCCATAGTGTTATGATGCTGGCCAATTTCGAAGTACACATTCATCAGAAAGTACAATGCCGTCCAATTGCAAAAAGAAATGAATGAACTTGAGAGGAGAGAGAGGGAAAGAAGAAGAAGAATAAGAAAGAAAGAAGAAGAAAGAAAGAAGAAGAAGATGATGTACACCAGCATAGACCAATGATAATGCTCTTCTTCTTCGCCAACCACTCTCCTCCTCCTTATCTCCTCCTCTGTTATTCAAACAAGAAATAATAATAATAATGTTGAATGGCCGAACCAGAGCCAATGTCCGAATCCTCTTCTACTGCAGGTATTACCTGAGGTCCACCATAGCCATGGCCGCCCCTCTTCCTCCTCCCTCATAAGACGAGGCTATGGTGGACTACCAGGGCATCGCCCTGCTGTCCAAAGGACAACACAAAGCAGCTATGGATGCTCTAGCTCAGGCCGCCATGCCTATCTCTGCCTCGAAGCTTCTTGGTGTAGCTCTACCCCACTGGGGCCTTCCTGCTGCTGCGCCCACCAAGGTGATGAAGATGGCAACCACCATAGCCAGGTAAGTACCTCTGGCGTTGCCCCTTCCTAGTCCTGGTCTTCTTCCTCCTCCGTGTCCTTGCTCCTTCCCCAGCAGCGCTCCAACCAGTGTGTCGCCAAACTTGCACACCGACAATGAGGAGGAGCACCTTGCTCCTCCTGGAGATAGAGCGGCCTGCTTGCCTCTTGGCGAGTGACTTCCTAGGCCGCGCGGCCTCCAAGCAACCGGTACCTCCTCCCTTTCGGAGGGAAACTTCATTGCAGACTCTGATATTGCCCGTACAGGCCCTAGACCCAGACTGGTTGGACTGGTACCTGCCTAGACCTAGCCTACAACTACCGGGCCTCTAAAAATGCCAACTTTTGTCTTCTTCTGCTCCCGGCACATCTACCTCTACCTGGTGTGGTACCGGCCTACCTGCTACTGGAGTGTTTTCCGCTGCTTCAAGTGTCGCGGGCCTCTTTCCCCGCCACGTGATTGTTTTCCCCGCTGCAACCCTCAATGTCACGGCCACAGGTAAGTACCGGCCCGAAGAATGAACAAGTGCCCTTGCGGGTCACACACACACTCAAGCTAATAAGCACTCAGACAGGAATGCAGACCTGCAAGCATGCACACACACAGACTTAGAGAACTCAGCAACAAGCGGGAAACTCAGCAAGGCGTTCATTCTATGACCAAAACTCAGAAATCAGCTGTGTGTCTCAGTCCGTGTTTGGCAGGTCATTACAATAGTCTGAATTGTGGAACTGATGCTATTCCATAGGCAGACGATTCCATAGTCTGAATTGTGGAACTAGTGCTATTCCATAGGCAAACTATTCCATACTCTGGCTTCTGGAACTATGACTATTGCATAACCTGAATTGTGGAACTCATGCTATTCCATAGGCAGACTATTCCATACTCTGAATTGTGGAACTAATGTTATTCCAATTTCCATAGGCATACTATCCCATTGTCTGAATTGTGGAACTAATGCTATTCCATAGGCTGAATTCTGGAACTAATGCTCCATCCAAATTTAGCACAGCTGTTCAGCCCATCGGATGCTCGGAGCAGGCCCCTACCCAACAATAATCAGACTCTGCTAGCATGAACTTGTCTGTTGACAAGCCTGTCACAGACCCTTCATTCATGATAGACTACGGTCTTCACCCGAATAGAACACCCCGTCATTATTGCCGTATCTGTTCAACTCTCAGTCTAGGTACAGCAATATGACCGGGCGTTGTATTCAGGTGAAGACGGTAGCACTGTCACAACCCTGTGAGATCTGACCCTTCATCCAAGTTTGCTATCACTGCTATGCTTATATCGATTCTGTCTCTGCTCGAGAAGCACTGAATTCTTGAGGGAACCTATTTCTGTACTTGACCACCGTGTGCGTCTAATTGCATACATTACCTTCTAGAGATGGAACTTGTGATTAAGCTTCTCTTTTCTCCCTTCTTTCTGTCACCCAGAGAACTTACCGCACCGACGCGTTAAGCAATCCCTGCCACTCTTCACATCATTCTTGACATACATTTTTTCAGGCTCTTTTTCTTTTGAGTAGGCGGGGAGGAAAACCGCCCCTGCATTCCGATGATTTCACCGTTTTTGTGGACAACTTACTTGTGTGTGTGTGTGTTTTTTGCATGTTGCTTTTAATCTCCCCCCCCAACCCCCCTTGAAAAACAACACAGCCCCTTATTCTGGCGGGCGTCAGTCCGGTTGCTTGTCACCGGAAAGCTCGTTTCCATGCAATACCCTCGCTGGATATGCTCTGAAGTGGCCCTAAGGCCACACGCAGGCCGCAACCCCGGTCTGAGGCCGCTCTGAAGTGGCCCTAAGGCCACACGCAGGCCGCAACCCCGGTCTGAGGCCGTGAAGACCAAGGGGAGGAAAACCCCCGAATTGGCCTCAGGGCCTGTGCGCCCAACAGTTGACTTCGGTCAACTGCCCAGCGGCCCAAGAGTCAAAGTCTGCACGGACCCAGCCCTGGCCACCGGTCAGACACACACACTTGTTTGTATGCAGTTACCAAGACAGCATTCGGACCAAGTGGAAGTCTGCAACTGTATGCGATCCACGCCCTCGGCTGCGAGTCAATCTGAGCCACCGTGGATGGGAGACCTGAGGCAGGTCAACCTCGTGGACGCTACATAAGGCCCGGCCTCCAGGGAATCAACATTCAGTCTGGCTATGCTGACTTGACGCTGGCTTGACGCTAGCTGGACGCTGGCTTGACGCTGGCTGGACGCTGGCTTGATGCTGGCTCGATGCTGGCTGCATGCTGGCACTGTGGGCGACGACGCGAGATTGCTGCTTGCTCGCTGGCGCCTTCCTGTCTTAGCACCAGCCTCTGCTGACGTGGCGCAAGCCACGTTGTCTTCGGCATTGCTGATGCGGCGCATGCCACTCTGTCTTCATTGCTGACGTGGCATCGGCCACACTGTCTTCATTGCTGAGTTGGACATGACAAGGAGGGAGATCGGGATCTGTGGATGATTGAGAGAGAGAGAAGATACTTACCTGCTGATTGATGTCGGTATTGTGCGCAGCTGAACATCTTCACAAGAGAACTTCGCCACGAGACGCTCTGATGTGGTCAGGCCCTGTCAGGCTCATTATTGGACACTTTGCTGACGTGGAGGCGAGGAGGAAGCCTGAAGAAGGAGAGGGAAATGTTGGTCTACTATCTCTGTGGTCATTGAAGGATGCTATCTCTTCCACCCTCTAAATTGTCTATTCCCCCTCTCCTCTCTTCGTCCAGTGGTTACAGGACATTGTATTATAGAGCACATTCACGATTATTTGGAGACATTATTCAGCGCTGAGTTTTCTTGTACTTCGACATTTGACGAGTATCTTCCAGACTGGGTTCATTACATCCATAACATAAAAGGGGGAAAGGAAGGAGGAGGGGGAGGGAGGGAAAGGCTTAGGGTCGGCTTTGCCCTTGCTGCCCTAGCCCAACAGGGGACTGCTACGCTTTTAATCTTTTTGAGAAATTTTGACCAATATACTTTTTCTTTTTTTTTCTGTGTGCTGTTGTGCAGAGAGGCATGCAAGTCCATACTTGCTTTTACGGAAGAAGTTCTGCTTCTTCCGTTGTTGGATGACAAGATATCATATCGACCCGCAGTGGAAGCAGCTGTTGTGCCGCGTGGTAGCACAATGATGAGGATTTTGATCGGTTCTCTTGCTGGAGCTCTGCCAACCTCAAGGACAGATGAGGTAATGTGCAATCTGCAGATGACGATAACATTTATTGCCGACAGACTGTCTGATGGGCAATTCACGAGAGGAATAAGAGAAAAGACAAAGAAAAGGGCCCGGGGGGGGGGGAGATGGGGGGGGGCGGGCGAAGAAAAAAAGGGAAATAGAAAGAAGAAAGAAAAAGGAAGCAATGCGCTAGGGGATCTATATGGGGGGTGGGCAAGAGAAAAAGGGAAAAAGAAAGAAGAAAGAAAAAAGGAAAGGAAGCAATGCGCTAGGATCTATATGCTACCAGCCCGTTCGGACCGCAGACGTAGGGATGGCTGAACATCTGGCCCAGACGTCCATTTTTTTTTTATTTTATTTTTTTTATTTTTTTTTTGACGTCCATATAAATTTCTGGATGTCCATAAATTTCCTGACAGCCGTAAATGAAAAAACTTCAAAAAAGTAAAAAAAAAAACACTGAAAAAGAAGAGACGTTAAGAACCACAAAAAAGAAGAGTGATGGTGTCATCTGACTCATCTCCGAATCCTGACCGAATTCAAGTTTAAAAAAAAAAAAA